TCGAATCTGCCCATTACTAACACCTTATTGGAAAGTCCTAACAGGGTAGCCATAAAGAGAATGAAAGAAGATCAGAAGAAGAAACAGATATGCTACTTTGATACAAGGGCTTGTGAGCTGTCACTACTAAGGCCAGGTGATAGAGTTTGTCTGAGGAATTATTTGTCGAGAACATGGACCAGCAGGGTATGGTGAAACAGCTGGTGCAGCCATGGTCCTATCTAGGGGCATGCCTTCACATAACTGACGAGACCTACTCCTGCTTCCACTTAGCTCCCGGACATCAGCAGGAGATACGGACTTGGATCAGCCTCAGTTAACAGTACGTAGTTCCTCATCCTCAGAAGGTAAAGATACTAATGATCCAACAGAGAGCCCCCAAACCTCCAATGAGGAGCCAATACTCTGGAGATCCAGGAGACAGGTGAAATGGCCAGAAAGGCTCATAGAGGTCTGTGAATAAGTTAAAGGGACCTGAAGAATAGGAAGTGGTAAAGAGTCACTCCAGACTGAAATGCTGGTAACTTGTCTTCAGTAGGTTATGGATTGTTTGGTGTGGTGGTGGTTTTATCTTGCATTGTTGTTGTGGAATTTTTGTTGTTATATTGTGATGGTTATTTTTATTTAAAAAATAAAAAGGAAGATGTAGTGATAAGGGTTAGACTTTGGAGACAGTCCCTTACAAGGGAATGTCTTATCACATGAGGAATTTGACCATGATCCCTGGAGAGTAAGGAGAAATCAAGATGGGGGCAGCCACATGGTCTGTGCTAGAGGGACCCTGTGCCAAATAGTCTGTTCTCTTCCTCATTCATAGTTGTCATTATTCACTGCGGGACCTAAATCATTACAGTGAGGGACTGAATGACTGGGATATCTGCTGGGAGGGAGATATGGTAGTACACAGACAGTGCAGTACATTCCTGGACTGTGTTTGGGATAACTTTTTGTTGCAGATGTTAGAGGCCAGCTTGAGGGAAGCTTTTTTGATTTTCTGCTCTCAGACAGGGAAGAATTGTTTGAGAACATGAAGGTGGAAAGCAAGGACCCATGATCCTATCTCCACCCTAGATAGGACCATGGGTGCATGTGACAGTGACCACAAAATGAGAGTGCAAGACCTTAAGGGGAGGAAGGAAGGAGAGCAGCAGATTAAGGGCACTGGATTTCAGAAAAGCAGACTCTAACCAAGTCAGAGAACTGATGGGCAGGATCCCCTGGGAGATGAGTCTGAGGGGAAAAGGAGTCCAGGAGAACTGGCTGTACTTTTAGAAGACCCTTTTGGTGGTGCAGGGGCAAGCTATCCTGATGTGATGGTAAAATGGGAAGTGCAACAGCAAGTCAGCCTGGCTAGACAGCAATCTCTTTCATGAGCTGAAACTCAAAGAGGAATCCTATAAACAGCGGAAACTTGGTCATAGTATGAAGGAAGAGTATGACAGCATTGCACAGGCCTGCAGGGAGGAAATTGGGAAGGCCAAAGCATGATTTGAGATGCAGTTGGCAAGGGACATAAACAGCAATAAAAAGGGATTCCACAAGTCTGTCAGAAGTAAGAGAAAGACCAGGGAAACCATAGGTCCCTTATGGAATGCAGATGGTAATTTATAGGCAGGCAAGGCTCTTTAAGTAGATGTGATATCTTTTATTAGACCAACTAAATAATTCGAAAAAATGTTCTTTGCAAGTTTTCGGGCACAAACACCCTTCTTCAGGCCTAGGGAGATTCTGCTGCTGTTGTGAGTTCTCCAAGGTTGAAAAGAAGCTTAAGCAAACAAGAAGTCTGTGAAGATGCAAAGGAGTGGAAGTTTGGAAGACAAAGGGTAGAGATAGGAGGAGAAGTGGGGAAGGAATGCAAGAGGTCAGCTGCAGAGAGGTTACCTGGTGTGTCAGATATCAGGCAGGCTGTAATGTGTCATAAATCCAATCCCTATACTAAGTCCATGATTTTTTGTATTTAGTATATTTATATTTATGAAGTGACATTCATTTATATGAACGTCTATTTATATTTATGAAGTGATGTTCATAGGCCTATCTACAAAAGGTGTTTTGTAAGCTCCCTTTGAAGATTAGAACTGAAAGATCAGAGAAGGAGTGATTGTCTTGTGAGAAGGTAATCTAACATATTTACCTGAATCCCAGATTACTTTGAATTTAAGATAACTCCCAGTAATTAGATTCTGTAGGTGGGAAATGTATACATTTATTATAATTTTCCAAGTATAGAATCTAATTATCTTAAATTCACCTCCCCACCACTGCTATTGTGGAGAAAGCATCAGCAGGAGGGCAAGTAGGTGGGGGGGGGGGGCAGATGCTACCCACACACACTTTTCCCCTGCTTCAGCCTTCCCTCTCCCAGTGGTGCCTGCACTCTCTGCTGCCTGTGCCCCCTGCCCCTTTTGCAGTTTCTGCCCCTTACCTACTTTCTACAGCTTCTCCCCCACCATCAACCTCCCTGCAGCCTCTGCTCCCTACTTCCCCCACTTATTGTCAGGTGTGGCTCCAGCCCAGCTCTGGCTCCATTCTCTCCTGGACACAGAAGCAATGCAAGCTCTGTCCCCTGCCTGGCCATGCAACATCTGAAGCTTGCATGTGCTCCATGCTTGGAAGGGATAGAGCCAGTGCTAGAGCTGTGCTTGACAGTAACCAGCAGGGGGAAGGGGCAGAAGCTGTACAGGGGCAGGTGGGAGAGTGGACAAGTAGCAGCTACAGCTCTGATTCTGGCCCCGACCCAGGCTCAGACCAGAATCAGAGCTGCAATAGTAGTCTATCCCTCCAGCACCTTGTACTTTAATCCAAGATGAGGGACTTTTTCCTCATGCTGAATGAAAGAAAAAACCTTGCCTTGGATTTGAGTAAATACAGTAGTTACAGAAGATGCAGAGTTGGCAGAAGTATTTAATGCCTTTTTTTACTTCTGTTTTCACAAATAGGGGCTTCTACCAGATGAGGACTGTAGTTGGCAACAAACGTAAGGAAGGAGACAAATAGGCAGGGCCGGATGGGATGTACCACAGGGTACTGAAGGAGTTGGCTGCAGTAATTTTAGAGTCATTAGCTATCGTCTTTGAGAACTAGTGCCCATCCCTTCTTTTCTCCTTCTCTGCTTCCATGGAGTCCTTGGCAACTGGGATTTGGGATTGATGAAAATGGTTGCAGCCCCCTCTTCTTTATGTCCTCAGCTATGGGGTGCTGGAAGGCAGACAGGGTACAGGTGCTGCCCAAAAGGCTGCACAAGAAGTGTAATACATATGGGGCAACTGACTCTTCGAGACACCGTTCTGTAGGGGACATGATTGTTCTCTCAGTCTCACTTGCTCATGCAGTAAGCCACAGCTTCTCCTTCTTTGATTCTCCCTCGGTTCCTAGCTCACTTTGTTCCTGACCAGTTTTTCAAACCCTCAGAAAAAATCAGCTGGCCCATAGCCAGCCAAAGAAACTGCTCCAGAAGTAACCCCATTTCCCAGTTGCTCAGATAGATGCAGGCAGGCAAAACAATTGTATTGGTTCAGGGGAACTTGTGGTAAACTAGTACCATTTGAAAATACAAGATTTGAAAGTACTAGCATTCCTTTGTCTGCTACCCCCTGTGTGTTGCATCTTCCACGGGGCCCTTCTGCATGGGTCAAACTCTGACTTGCACCATGTCAGGAACTGAACACATGCAGTTTCCAAGTGTGCACAAACTTCCAAGTGTGGTAGCGGGTGATGGTGGGGGTTTTGGTTTAGTTAACTGCCTTTTAAGAATTACTTTTCAACAGTTTTATCACGGAGTCTTCCGATGTCAATGTAAGGCTCCTGCCTGCAGCCTGTGTAACTAGGTCAGCTGCACTTAATGCATTCAGCATGGCCAGCTGAGTCCAGTCCTCTTCCTCTGATTGGTTCTGGTGCTGTTTTTAAGGAAATCCTCTGGCACCTGAGCCCTACTGCACAGCACTCTGGTGTCCAGTGCTTGAGTGGCTCCTGTCTCACTAACTCCTCTGGTTTCCTGGCTCTTGACTCCTGTTACCTCCCTGGCTTAGTGTTTGAATTTTGGCTTAACCTTGACTTACTTCCTGACCCCGATTCTGGTTAGTCCTCTGGCTTGGTTTCAGACTCTTGGCTTTGGATCCCGCCCCTTGCTTTGCAACGAAGGGTTGTCCTCGGCTGCTTCTAGCCTGCAGTTCATCCCTGCAACCCTGCCAGTTCTCATTGCTGACTCCTCCCACTAGGCATGGTGCTCTTGTGAACCCTGACGGTTAATGTTTGTGCACATCAGCGAAGAAATCTTGTAAACTACTGCAAATTGCAAGAGTGAAGCTGGTCACGTGAAGTGTGCCTTGCTTTTCCTCTCTCAGCAAGTGTTTTTCTTCTTTAAATTAGATACTGCTTATAGTAACCAACAAGGCACTCACGTGTATTTAAATCTTGCAGAGTGTGGCACATCCTATATAATTTTGTGTCAAAGGTTTTTACTAGGCTAGGGAGAATACTCAAAGGTGGAGAATATTTCATTTTCTTGGTCAGGATAAATAGATTTGCTCTAAACGTCACTCCTGTCCACAGCACCCTAGGCTGTTTCTGTCTCACAGGAGGATAATTTCTAAAATGATGGGAGAGATACATGGTGTAACCCATATGTTTAGGGGACAGAAAAAATGGCTAGACAAGCTGCATTTTAAAAATAGGAATGTGTTCTGTCTTAGAAACAAATTGATATTGCCCTAGGAAGGTGGCTGTCATAAACTGGATAATGTTACTCAAAGTGCTAAGAGAAATAAAATGGAAGGAAAAATCACTTTTCCTACTAATCACTACCATCATTCTAGTATATAAGCCAGCTCTTGTTCCATTTTTTGGAACACTATTTCCTTTCCAACTGATCAGTAGAGGTTGTAGCTGCCTGATGTGACCCCTTCTGCTAGAATTCTCAAAGGTGCACTTTGTTCTTTCTTTGTATCCTTGGATATGACAACCTGAAGAATTACAGTTGGAGTGAAAGAAGATTGACTATCTCAGATCAACATTTTTGCCTTTATTAATAGGTATGTGAAACATGGATATATTTGTTTCTATTTCACAAATAGCATATGGAAGCACAAAGGCAAGGTCAAACCTTAACATCCTAAGGTGTATCCCACTGTTTCCATTAGCATTTATGTCATCAGTTTGCCTTATTCTCCTTGAGATTTCATCTGGCATGTTTTATATATCATCAGAGGAAAGAAATAAGGTATTTTTCTACTTTTGATATTAAACATTTGTATCATATTACAGTCCAGCGAAAATGCAGGCACAAATCTTAAAAATATAAGGATTCATTGTCTGTAACAATTGAAAGCCTGTGAATCTTTGGCTATTTAGGTTTTTTGTTTTACTTTTCAGTCTTTAGTGAGAAATGTGTTTTTCCTTGTAGATTAAGCATAGTAACAAAATCACATATAAACCAGAAGCAATGAATTCCAATGAAGAAGAAATGATTTGTGAACTAAGGTCCTACATAACATTAAATCCCTTCTCAAAGTGGCTGTCCCAACAGCAGCAAAGATGAAGTACTGAATTCGGGCGTGTGTCACAATTTTCTGCTTTCCATGTAGGTTCTGTGTCTGTGAGCAGTAGGTAAGAAGGTAGACAAGAATCTTGCCCTTTCAAGAAACAGGATTCATGACTATTTCAGACCCGCACCTATTCAGAAGAATGGAGCTAGCAGAAGGAGCCAGGGAGATGGCCACAATCTGAACAAGTCCCACACCTATTATTTGATGTTAGTGCCTCACCCACTTAAAGAGTGCAGTTTGAACCTTTACATTTTGGATGATTTATTTCCTCCTTGTGTGTGTATGTGTGTGGTCAGGGGGAGATGGGGCAGAGGGGAAGGAGGAGAGGGTGTGTGTTGGAGAACATTGAAGAAATGTTGGGTTAAATTTAGACCACATGCAAAGAACTGCAAATTGCATGCGTTAATGCATTAGGAGTGAATTTGCCCCACAACTCTTCAATGATGGTGTAGGTAAAGGTTCTACAAAGTCTTGCCAAATGCAACCAAATGATTTGCTGAATCTCTTGGAAAATTAGTCTCTCAGAAAGGTACATCTTATTCTTTAAAATGCAGCAAGTCTTCACACACATGTACTAGTTAGAAACAGGCTTTTAAGTATTAGTTTGGAAAATGAAAATAATGAGACCTTGGTTTTTTCCACTGCATTGCTTTTGTTCAGCAGTCAGTGAAGTTTCTTCATGAATGGCCATCTTGCCCAGTGCGTACCAGAGATAATTTATTCTCTGGCTTCAAAGTCATACCACACTGCCAGCACTCTGAGAGGTAATATTCTCCCTCATATAACACTTGCCTTTCCCCCTTCAACAGTGCTCTTGCTCCATATATGCCCTAGAAACTTGTTCACAGCACTGGGTTTCAGCGACAGTACTCCCGCTCAATACTCGCCATGAGCTCTTCTTCAGAGTAATCATACGATATCGTGGACTGCCCCTCAGGCTTCTTGTTGTGCTGGACTGGACATCTGCAGATTAAGAGAACAACATGAAGTTACTGTAAAAGAAAATCCAAGCTCTGAGACGACTATAGTCACTTAGATCTTTGAAAGACTGGGAGCAAGACACCTGGGTCTCCAGGCTTGTGTTCAAGAATGTCAGGAATCTCCTGCTCCCTCCCCAACAGGTCCTGTTCCCTTAAAGAAGCTGCTCCATTGTTTAACAGCCGAATCATTGCTTCAATACCTGGGGATAACAATTATTTCTCTAAATACCATTTATAGAATTACCCAAGTGATTTACAGCACAATTCCTCTGCCCGGGCCTGTAATACTAGGATAGCCTTGTGTGCTCTAAGGGGCCAGGTGCAGCCCAGTAGGGTGTATGCAACTCATTCTCCCACATGTCTTCTGAGTTGTGGACTCAGTCACTCCAGTGCAGCACAGGAATGGGAAATAAGGTAAGGGACAAGAAAAGACCCATCCCTGCAGCTGGAGATGGGTGTCTTCCAAGAAAGCATGCCAGAGGCATGGGGCTTCCTACAGGATCTTCCAACAGGGAGGAGAAATGGGGAGAAGGTGACTGCAGGAGTCTGCCAGATGAATTTGGGGCCTGTTGGAGCCTCTTCGGGGAGTAGGGACCTGCAACAGAATAAAAGGTGTATTCTGTTTTTTAATCTAATTTTAACCTAATCTGATTTTTCAGATCACCTCAATTTGGTAAGCAATATTGAATTCATCAACAACATTCTTATCTGAGAACGTTATATAATCGTTGCTCTCATATCATTGTTCTCCATAGCCTTGAGCAAATCAGTTGGTTTTGTAGCTTTCATTTCTCTACTTGTAAAATGGCAATAGTGCTGCAAAGAGGAATGAACGTGTCTGAAGTACTGAGACTATTCCCAGAAGTTACTGAACTGCTTAGGAAGGTTTAATCTACAAGAGTCTTTGTTCTCAAGAAGCTGAACAAACACCTCCCTAAGATCCTGATTCTGACAGTGACTATGGTGACATCTTGCTGGGCCTGGTAGTTATTTCAGTTTTCTTGTCATGTCTCTACACCACATTTGACCATTTTTTTTATGCAAGCTCGTGCTCGCTTATTGTACCTGACAAGGTCTTTCATTATACATGTGCCTTCAAGCACTGGGCATTGCAGCAGGTGTTGCATAGCGTGAGGCTCTGTGCCACAGTCACAGGTGGTTGAACCAATGGTATAGCCCCACTTCTTCATTCGATCCTTGGAGTGTCCGACTCAAGTGCATAGGCAGTTGAGACATTCCTACCTTTGCCATGGTTCATAAATGCATGGTGGGAGACTTGGTCACTGCAATGTCCATGTTTTTCAGTGTCAGGTATATTCTTCAGCCTCTTGTTTCACATCTGTAGTTGTGTCTCCTCGGATGTGGCATTGAGAGGTTGGGTGCTGGTGAGAAAGCTCCTGCATGATCTTAGATGTTTGTGTGCTGTGGGGTGGTCATACCGCAGATGTGTCACATCTTCAGTTTGTCTCGATTGTTCTGTCCTGCTGGCCACTACTTTTCTGATGTCAGGCAGAGAGATGCCAGCCAGCAGGTACACACTGTTTAGGCTGGTAGGCTCAAGACATCTTCTGATGTATTGGCAGCTATCATTCAGGATGGGGTCAAGGCGCTTAGCATGTACAGATCTCTCCCATACAGGGTATGCATATTTGGCAGAGGAGAAGCTGAGAGCCAGAGCAGTGGCTCAGATGGTTTCTATAAGTAGGGTTTCTACCAGTATGCCAGTAGCAAGAGGAGGATCCAGGAAAGTCTGGGTCCCTTAGTGAGTGGGGGAGGCAACCTTGTGACAAAGGATGCAGAAAGGATAAAGTACTCAAAGCCTATTTCACCTCAGTCTTCACAGGCAAGGTCAGTTCCCAGACTACTGCATTGGGCAGCACAGTTTGGGGATGAGGTAAGCAGCCAACAGTGGCAAAAGAACAGGTTAGGGACTATTTAGAAAAGCTGGACATACACAAGTCTGTGGGGCCAGATGGGATGTACTCGAGGGTGCTGAGGGAGTTGGCTGATGTGATTCCTGCACATACCCGTCTCCTGCTCTTGGCCCCAGAGTACCAGCACAGGCCTTGTGCTCCCACAGTCTGGCAATGCAGCCGGGGGCCACATGGTGCTGGAGTGGCAGGTGGGAGGGCAGGGAAGCAGTGAAAGCTGCAGCAGGCAAAGGCTTCTGGGTGTGTGGGGAGATGGGGTGGGAGGGGTCTGGGGGTGGAGTGGGGCTGGACCGGCCTTGCTTCTGAGTCCTGCTGGCTTCCTCTGGGTCCTACTGCTTCTGGCTCCTGTCATCTTTGACAGGCAGCCAGGAGCAGATTAATATAAATTTTCTAAATTTTTTAGGGGCCCCTCAGGCCAAATAGAATGGCCTGGTGGGTCAGATCTTGCCCACCACTGATTTAGAGTAACCTAGACAAATTGGAGGACTGGGCCAACAGAAATCTCATGAGATTCAACAAGTACAAGTGCTAAGTTCTGCACTTAGGACAGAACAATCCCATGCACTGGTACAGTTTGGGGGCTGACTGGGTGGGCAGCAGCTCTCCAGAAGAGGATGTGGGGATTACAGTGGACAATAAGCTGAATATGAGCCAGCAGTGTGCCCTTGTTGCCAAGAAAGCTAATGGCATACTGGCCTGCATTGGTAGGTGTGTTGCCAGCAGGTCAAGGGAAGTGATTATTCCCCTGTGTTCAGCACTGGTGAGGCAACATCTGGAGTAGTGTGCTCAGTGTTGGGTCCCCACACTACAGAAAGGATGTGGACAAATTGGAAAGAGTCCAGTGGAGGGCAACAAAAATGGTGAGGGGGCTGGGGGACCTCCACTTTTGAGGAGAGGCTAAGAGAACTGGGCTTATTTAGTCTAGAGAAGAGGAGACTGAGAGGGGGTTTAATAGCAGCTTTCAACTACAGGTTTCCTTCACCAACTACAGTTTTGCCAACCACAGTTTTGTATATACATGCTTAATATACTAT